CATATTGTTCCGACACCCATCTAAGTGATAAAGTTAACTGTTCTAGTTCAGAAACCTTTGTGACTTCATCAACTGAAATAACATATATGAGAGCTTTTCAAATGAGGTGACATTCAAGATACAATTCTTTGATGAGCTCATTGATTATGTCATGTGAAAGATACTTTTCATCAACAACCCATTAGTCGAGCCCATTATCTTTTCAGTTATTTGATAATAGTTCAAGTAGCTTTCATAAATTATCTTATAATTCATAATGACCTCCAATAGCTAAGCCCTGTCCTGCTAGATACCTTAAAGAATCTATTTCTGTAATTGAACAGATTTTGTTTTTCTCTTGCTGTCGCATTTTTTTATGAGGAAGAAGAGAACTGACCGGTTTTTGACTAAAAAAGAGCTTTTTAAAACATTCTTTATGAAAAACTTGTATTGGTCAAGATCTGTTAGGCAATTTTTCCAATCATTAAACCCATCAAGAATAAATGCATGTTAACCACACTTTGATGTAACAGGCTAGTAATGTATTGCATTATGACAAACAAAACAAAAGGCTTTCTTCTTAATTTGACAAAGATAAAGCCATTGCGCTTGGGTAAACAAATCTTGATTAAAATATCTCATGCGACTTCTACAGTATTTTTTCTTGCTGAACTGCATTCTTTGAACATTGTTTATTGATTTGTTAATATTACAGCATGTTGGTGGTACATGCTGTTTTGTCTTTTTCTGACATGAAGTCTTAAGAAGACATAATCGGATCTAATGCAATTATATTTGTAATTGCATTAGTATCTTCTTTCATAATTGGTTGCTTGTTATTTTTCTTACATTTTTCAGAACTAACAACTAAAAAATAAACTACAGTTAATATTTTTACTTATTTGCAAAGGAATCATTGCTTTATAAAAAAGTATAATTTATTTTTCAATTATTGATATATTAATGAATTTCTGTTTCACCTTCAGAACTATTTAAGTTCTTGTGTCGTTTAGCAATTGCTTTGCAGCCAATATCATTCCCAATAACCTCAAGAGTCTTAAAATCAAACAAAAGAAGTTTATCACAAAATCAAACAAAAGAAGTTTATTACTGACACTTGGAGGTCAAGGGGGCCATGGCCTTTACTGCCCCTCCCCATTTCTACCACTCCACATAAAACACCTCATAAATAAAATTTTGGACAAAATTTAAAAATTAATATTTAAAAAAATAATAAGTTTTATTATTTAATATTTCAACTGTTAATATATTAGTATATGTAGTTTATAAATGGTATATATTTGGCAATATATTAAAATAATTATTTTAAATACCATATTTAGCAATATTATAAAGTTTTTTTGAAAGATTTTTTATTTGAGTAAGGAAAATTTCTTTATTCATCTTTGAATAGCAATATCTAATTCTTGCTTCAAGCTTATCCAAGCTCTCAAAGCTTTTCTCAGCTACCCAATTATTCTCGTACACTAGCCATTTTAAATCACCCTAAAAGTTTTCAATTGGTCTTGCTTCTGGAACGTTAGCTGGGTTTATATCTTTGGGTACAACTTTGATTTTTTTCAATTTTAAAAAGTCGATGACCGACTTTGCGTAATGTGGTCGAGCTAGATCAGGCCAGAAGATAAACTCATTGTCTTTTTTATAATGCTCTGATACTAGAAGAAGTAAAATTTTTTCTAGTATCTCTTTATAAGTGTATTGATTGTCTGCTTACAGTGATGAATATAAAGAGGGCTTATTCCACGGGGGCTGATGCAACAAGAAACTAAGAGCTTGTCCTCGTAATTTTTACGCAAATTCTTACTTTGTCAGAACATTGAGAAGGATCAGTGGCATAAAACCTATCATTACCAGCTATTGTTTAAAATGTGCTATTGTTTAAAATAAGCTTTAAAATAAGTTTAAAACAATATATTGTGTAAAACAGCTTTTATCACCCATAACAAAATCCACAATTAACAATATTTACAATTTTTGCACAATTTACGATATTTAGGACGCATAGCTTTCTTCTGCTGATGGCTACTATCTGAACGATTTTTTTTTTTTGAAAGTTCGAATGTTAGTCATTGTTTTTAATATTTAAAAATTCAAATTTGAATTACAGTTAAAAACTTGAGCTTCTTTCTTTTGGGAGCACCCTGACTTATTTTTAAAAAATGCAGCAATATTTGGAATATTTTCTTTAGTAGCTACCTTAGCGATTCGCCCACTTCCAACTTTTCTTTTTAGAGATCCATTCTCCAATTTTGCAATTTTATCATAAGCAGTTGATCTGGGTAAACCCCATTCCATAAACATTTTATTTTCAATATTTAAATAATATTTTTAACTTAATTAAATTAAATTTAAATAGATTATAAAATCCTCTTTCAAATAAGTATAAAGGTTTTTTATGTATATATATACATACATATATATATGTATATATATACATACATATATATATATATATATATATATATATATATATATATATATATATATATATATATATATATATATTCATTATATATATATATATATATATATATATATATATATATATATATATATATATATATATATGTATGTATGTATATATATATTCATATATATATATATATGTATGAATATATATATATATTCATATATATATATATATATATATTCATATATATATATATATATATATATATATATATATATATATATATATATATATATATATATATATATATATGAATATATATATATATATATGAATATATATATATATATATATATATATATATATATATATATATATATATATATATATATATATATATATATATATATATATATATATATATATATATATATATATATATATATATATATATATATATATATATATATATATATATAAGCAACCACTTATTAGTGTTGGAAGTTACTGGAAGAGAAAAGATAAAGATTGTAGAGCAAGATAACGATTGACAGACCACTTAAAATATTGCAATTATATGAATCAGGAAAGCAAGATGAAGGAAGTGAATTCCAAAGAACTGATGATCGAGGAAAAACACTAGATGAATAAGAGTTTTTAGAGCACTTAGGAACAGTAACAGAAAAAGGATGAGACTTAATTGAATGACAAGTAACACGAGAATGAATTTAAGTTGATGGCACAAGATACGCTAGCTCTTTAGAGCAGTGTCCATTATAGTATTTGTAGGAAAGAGAATGTGACAAAGGTTGAAGGTTGGCTGCAAGAGCAGGTCCAACTATATTTGCAATGCGTTTTTGCACCTTGTCTAAAAAAGAAAAAGCATCAATAGAAGATCTCCCCCAGATATGGCAACAGTATTCCATACAAACCCGGATTTGAGATTTATAGAGATAGAGAATAGAATCCAGAGAAAGAAAGTGTAGAGCTCAATAAAGAGATGCAACTTTAGCAGATGCTAATTTTGCAACGGATTTGATATTAGGTTTTCAAGAAAGATCAGAAGTGAGAGTTAATTCTAGAAGATAAAGGGTAGATGACTCATCAAGTACATTACCATTCATAAATATAGGAAGGTCTAAATTATTGCGATAATGATTGGCCCAAAAAAGTTGAGTTTTATCTGAATTTAAATTGACCAGTCACTGTGAGCCCCATGCTGTAGCAGAAGTGAGATCCTTTTCAAGCTCAAATGCCCCCTGCAAGCAATCAGAGGGAGTTGGCTTCTTATTGTGACAAGAATAAATGATAGTATCTTATTGTGACAAGAATAAATGGTAGTATCATCAGTAAATCAAAAATAGTATAGAACCAAGGATTGAACCTTGAGAAACCCCTGAGGTTACAGAATAAGAAGAAGAGTGCTGTCCATCAAGGACAACTTTTATACTACGATTGGAAAGGAAGGATTCTTAAAATTTTAATTAATCTTAAAGATGTTTCCAGATACACCGTAAGAAGAAAGCTTATGGAGAAGACCAACATGCCAAACTTTATCAAGCGCTTTAGAAATGTCAAGAGCGATGGCTTTAACCTCTCCACCTTTATCTAATACGCGATAAAACCTATCGGTTATTAATGTTAGCAAATCAGCCGTAGAACGAGAAGATCGAAATCCATATTGATGATCAGAAAGTAAGCTATTAGAGTCTTGCATGGTAGTCAAAAAATTTCTTCCATAAACTGTAGTTTTAAAGAGAAGGCTATTAAACCAAACCAGAAAAAACTTAAAAACTAAAAGAATTTTTTTTTTTTTTTAATGATAGATTGCTTGCAGAAACCAAACCCTTAGTCAATGTAATGGCACTTCTTTGTAGCAGCAGGCTATAAGATAGCTGATTTAACAAAACACCGAGCATGTTTTAAAAATTTATTTTAATAAAACAAAAACAAAAACACTATTAATTAAAAAAAACTTTTTATTCATTATTATTGCAGTTTTAAAAAAATGATAAAACTTAATGTACTTTGCATTAATTTAATTGTTTTAACTTTTCGACAACAATAAAATATAGCTTAATTGTCAAAGCCGCAAAATTGTCGTTAAAAGAGACTTTTTTACCATCAAAGTCTCTTTCGACTACAAGATAAGGAGATTTTTTAAAAACTGCAAAAATAAATGTTTGCAGAATTAAGAGTTTGTAACTATACAGTAGAACAATGAAAAAAAAAAGTTAAATAGTGAAAGCAGTGAAACAGTGAAAGCAGGCTTTATGGTTAATAAATCTTCATATCAAAAAAATCTGCTCAATGATTCTGTTTTAGAATAAACATGTTAGAAAGAAATAATTTAAGTATTCTACTTCTTGAAACTTAGTTTAAATAAAAAAAAGCATCTTTTATTGCAAATTCTTTAAAAACATGTGTTTTACGCAACTCAAAATATATGGAATAAGTAAAAAATGTTTTAAAAATAATTTCAAACAAAAAAGTGACAAAAATTATAGAAATCAATTAATAATTGTAATTTATAAAGCAAAGACATTTAGCATTGTAAAATATATTTTGATTTTAGTAGTTAATTGGTTACCTTCAAAAGTTGAACTTCAACATCATCATAAACAAGATCAATAGATATGCGTTTCTCTCTATTTTTAATGCATTGTTTTGAAATTTCTAAAGGAACTTCAGTCATTTTTAAAAAAGCTTCAGTTCGTTTTTGATATTTTAAAAGATTTTGTATTTCATTTTCTGTTTCTAAAAATTGACTATCTAACTCAGATTTCCAAAATTGTATTTCATCTATTCTTTGCTCAATTTTTTTATTGACATCAAGATGAGTTTTTATAGTAGAAATATGGATTTCATTGGAAAACCTTTTACTTTCATCTTGGATTAACTCACTGGTTTGCAGTTCTTGATAAGCTTGATCATATTTGATTTGATTTGAATCATTCCATTCTTTAATTGTATAGTTTGAATTGGGAACAATAAAATTATCCATTTCAAAAAATCACTAAGTTATAAAATTTATTCTTATATTAACTTTTAAAAACCAAAAAAAAAATTTTCTGTGTTTATATAGATTTATTTGTTGTATTTAGCAAATAAATCTATATACACACATAAAGTGTGCATAACAAAAAAATTTTAGTTGACACATTTCATATAGGTTAGAGTCAGGTCAGGTTTTATTTTATGTAGGTTAGGGTCATATTTCATGTAGGTTATATTAGACATATTTCATGTTGGTTAGGGTCAGGTCATACATATTTCATGTAGGGTCAGGTCAAACATATTTCATGTAGGTCAGGTCATACATATTTCATGTTATCAGGTCATCAGGTCATATCAGGTATATCAGGTCATGTCAGGTCATATCAGTTATATCAGGTCATTTCAGGTGTATCATATCATATCAGGTCATATCTATATCTATATCAGGTCATATCTATATCAGGTCATATCTATATATATATATAGGTATATCAGGTCATATCAGGTATATCAGGTCATATCAGGTCATATCAGGTCATATCAGGTCATATCAGGTCATATCATATCATATCAGGTCATATCAGGTATATCAGGTCGTACATATTTCATGTTAGGGTCAGGTCATACATATTTCATGTAGGGTCAGGTCATACATATTTCATGTAGGTTAGGGTCAGGTCAGGGTCAGGTCAGGTCAAAAATTTTGGTTAACACATTTCATGTAGGCTAGGGTCAGGTCAGGTTTATCCTGCTACTGGTAACATGTAACCCAGTACAATCTGCTTCATGTCCTGCTGCCTTGTAGGATATGCCTTTTTAGGCAAAGGCTAGGAGATGCAAACTCCATCATAAAACACCTCCTGCCTTGGGGCTCTTGGTTGAGTAAAGGCTAGAGATAGTGTCTCAATAAAAATACTCATCTTGGGCAGATGTTAAATGCATCCTGCTGCTGTCTTGTAGAAGGCCTCTTTTGGTGTGCATTGCCAAGGCCACATTGGAGCCCTTTGTTACGGCTTAGGGTTTATTAGTGGAAATGAGGCAATTGCTTGGGCTATAAAACAGTGTACTGAGTACTATCTATGTTTCAAGTCAAGTTCTTTAACAAATTTCAAAATGAATAAAGTAACAAAAACTATAAAACACAAAAAACACACTCATCACCAAGTTCACTAAACCTATCATCCACCAATATTCGTGGTCTTCGTAACTTTTCTTCTGTTGAGTATTATCTTTTGCAAAGTTCACCAGACCTACTGACTCTTTGTGAGACTAATTTGAGTTCTTCTGTCTCATCTTATGATCTTGGTGTTGATGGTTATCTTCCTTTAATTCATAAAGACGCCAATAGTCACATGCTTGGCCTGGGCATTTACATTGGTAAGAACTCACCCTTTTTCTCAGGAAACTAGGTTTGAATCCACAGACTACTCTTTTGTGTGCTTTCGTTTAGCACCACTTCACTCTATCCCCTTTCTCTTTGTTCTATATCGCTCTCCTTCATCTTAAGACTGCACTCTTCTTGATGTTATTTCTGATTATATTGACCATGCCCTCATTCTTTATCCATCAGCCAATATTGTTGTTGTCGGTGACTTTAATGTTCATCACACTGATTGGCTTGGCTCTAGTGTCAGTGACTCTGCAGGCATTAAGGCCCACAACTTTTGCCTTTCTCAATCCCTAACTCAAATAGTCAACTTTCCAACTCACTTTCCAGGCAACCTGAATCATTTACCTTCTCTACTCGACTTATGTCTTGTTTCTAATCCTAGTCAGACTCAGTTTCTCCACACTTACCCTTAGGTGCTTCTGATCATAGTTTTGTCTCTCTAAAACTATTATCTCATTCTTTTTTACCATTAGAATCCCCCTATCATCGTACATCTTACAACTACCTTAAAGCTGACTGAGACTCTTTCCGTGATTTTCTTTGTGATGGCCCCTAGGTAGAAATCTTTCGTCTTTCTGTTGACAAATGTGCTTCTTACATAACTTCGTGGATTCAGGCTGGCATGGAATCCTTCCCTCTCAACGATTCCAGGTCAAGCCTCACTCCATGGTTTTCCTCACATTGTGCTGCTGCAATTGCCAATCGAAATCATTACTTCCATATCTATCAGCAAAGCAATTCTCCGGAAAACAGACGCCTGTTTATTACTGCTAGGAACCATTGTAAAAAGGTTTTGTCTAACGCCAAAGCCCTCTATTCTCAGACCATGAAATCTTGTATTTCATCACGAAAATTAGGTTCTCGTGACTTCTGGAGAATCTTTAATAGTATCTGTAATAAGGGCAAGTCTGTAATCCCACCTCTTTTGTACAGTTCAGACTTTGTCACCTCATCTAAAGACAAGCTGAATTGTTTGCCAAAAACTTTTCATCAATATCATCTCTTGATTCCACTAGTTGCGTTCTACCTGATATAACCATCAAACAGGTTGATTGATTGCTCGACATCCATATCACTCCAGTTTCTGTATCTAAAATGATTTCCTGCTTAGACTCTTCTACAGCTTGCGGCCCGGACAACATACCTGTTATAGTCTTGCAGAAGTGTTCTCCGGAGCTGTTGTCTATCCTTTCAAAACTATTTAACAAGTGCTTATCAGAGTCTTGTTTTCCAGCCTGCTGGAAAGCAGCATTTTTAAAAATTCTGGAAAGCAATCCGATTCGTCTAACTACCATCCCATTAGTCTTCTTCCTATCATAAGCTTCTTCCTATCATATATTTGAATCTTTAATTAACAAACACTTTTTGAATCTTTAATTAACAAACACTTAATCTCGAATCTCGAATCTCATAACCTACTTTCTGATCATCAATATGGATTTCGATCTTCTTGTTCTACGGCTGATTTGCTAACAGTAATAACCGATAGGTTTTATCACGCATTAGATAAAGATGGAGAGGTTAAGGCCATCGCTCTTGACATTCTAAAGCGTTTGATAAAGTTTGGCATGTTGGTCTTCTCCATAAGCTTTCTTCTTACGGTGTATCTGGAAACATCTTTAAGATTATTAAATCCTTCCTTTTCAATCGTAGTATAAAAGTTGTCCTTGATGGACAGCACTCTTCTTCTTATTCTGTAATCTCAGGGGTTCCTCAAGGTTCAATCCTTGGCCCTATACTCTTTTTAATTTACATTAACGATCTTCCAGATATTCTCACATCTAAGGTGGCATTGTTCGCTGTAGATACTACTATTTATTCTTGTCACGATAAGAAGCCAACTCCCTCTGATTGCTTGCAAAGGGCATTTGAGCTTGAAAAGGATCTCACTTCTGCTACAGCATGGGGCACACAGTGGCTGGTGAACTTTAGTTCAGATAAAACTCAATTTTTTTCAGCCAATCGTTATCGCAATAATTTAGACCTTCCTATATTTATGAACAGTAATGTACTCGATGAGTCTCCTACCCTTCATCTTCTAGAACTAACTCTTACTTCTGATCTTTCTTGGAAACCTTATATCAAATCCGTTGCAAAATTAGCATCTGCTAAAGTCGCTTCCTTTTATCGAGCTCGTCACTTTCTTACTATGGATTCTATTCTCTATCTCTACAAATCTCAAATCCGGCCTTGTATGGAATACTGTTGCCATATCTAGCATTTTGTAGATGGCACAAGAGCTAGCGTCTCTTGTGCCATCTACAAAAATTCATTCTCGTGTTACTCGTCATTCAATTAAGTCTCATCCTTTTTCTGTTACTGTTCCTAAGTGCTCCAAAAGCTCTTATTTGTCTAGTTTTTTTCCTCGAACATCAGTTCTTTGGAATTCGCTTCCTTCATCTTGCTTTCCTGATTTATATAATTTGCAATCTTTTAAGTCGTCTGTCAATCGTTATCTTGCTCTACAATCTTTATCTTTTCTCTTCCAGTAACTTCCAACACTAATTAGTGATTGCTTGCAGCCTTGTTGGAAGCGAAGATGTTAAAAAAAAAAAAAAAAAAAAAATTATATCTGGACAATAAAATAGCTTTAAATGAGTTTAATGATATTGCATTTAGTCAGTTTTTAAGGTATTCTACAATTTCGCAGCTCTCTTTGTAAAAAAATTAAACCTTGCTGGACAATTTTTTATTAGTTCAATATTCAATTTATGCCCTTGCCTATGTGTATGAATCCCAGGTTTATCAAGGAAACATAAAATTTGACCATTGAATTTTTATCCAACAATTTTATACATTTGGATTAAGTCTCCACGTTATTGTCTTAAATCCTGGTTAAATTCAAATTGGTTAAATTTAAATATTTAAGGCGTTCTTTGCACGATAAATCTTTTAACTCTGAAGGGATTTATATTACTTTGCATTAAATTCTTTCCAGCCTTTCTATATCTCCTGTCAGATAGGGACTCTATATTACACTTGCATATTCTAAATGTAGTCGTTTATATGATTTATACAAAATTTCTATCATTTATACGTTTATTATGTTAGTTAGTTAGTTAGTATGATGACCGCAATGCAACTTTATCGTGTTGTATAGAGCGCCTTTGTGGCACTGTGGCGGTTTTGGTGGAACCTGTCCAACTAGTTTTTGAATTCGTTTAGGCTTTCAGCATTAAATCAATCTTGTCTGGTAGGCTATTCTAGCTGTTAACAACTCGGTTTGTAAAAAAGTTGCTTCTATTGTTATTATTTCTAACTATCTTCTTGATCAGTCGACTTCTATGTCAATGGTGTGGTGCAGAACGGATCAAGGTGTGGTGCCAGTTAACTATTTCTTTTCCAGATTTGATTTTAAAAAGTTGAATTAAGTCACCACGGTGACTTAATTCAACTTTTTTTCTTCAAGGGTGGTCAAGTCTAAAATGCCTAATCTATTTTCATAAGGAAGATGCTTTATATTATGAGCCATCTTAGTAGCGCGTCTTTGGACTCTCTCCAATACATATATATCCCTAATCATATGTGAGTTCCAACTTGAAGCAGAGAATTCAAGATGAGGATGCACGTACACTATGTATAATTTTTTCCAAAGTTCTACATTGTGGGAAACAAATGTCTTTTTAAGC